TTTGTAAGGAAACAAAGAAACGGTATATCTGCATTACTTACATCACCAAAAGTTGCAATAGACAAATGAAATAATTTTCCAGCAGTCATCTTGATAACGTTATTCGATCGAGCAATAATCAAAACGAGACCAAGCGCAGTTTTGTGATGTAGATTATACCAATCGGTCATGTATGCCATTTGCCCGACATATTTGCACTAACAAATTGACATAAGAGTTAAATTCTGTTTGAATAATAAAAAGAATTTGACAATTTTGACAATTTAACAAAAGATGTTAAACGAAACGGAAATATTTAGTTTTATTAAAAGTGAATTATATTTTGAGATTTTCTTTATTAATATATACGAGTATTATATTTCATTATTTTTTTAAAAGTATTGAATGGATTATTAGAAAATGTCAAAATCTGACATTTCCTGGTCTCAGCGTTTTAATTCTCGATGTATTACCTGTTCTGTAATAATCTCTCCGATGTAGCAAAATATAAAAATATTGAAACTCATCGATAAATACACAATAACATAAGATATTATTTTTGCTGTATCGAGCGTTTCCCAAGCCTAAAAATTAAAATTTAGGCTCATCTTTATCGTTTAATCTATTACTTTAAGTACGCGTTTTGTCATGGAATAGCGATATTTGGCTTCTCATAAATTTAATTACAATTAGGTGCGATTATTAAGAATTTCTAATAAGATTTTCTAATAAGATTTTCTTACGTTTTTAGCGTACCATAATGGTGTAATATCCAAGTAAACACATAATTACTGTGCATCCCATCAATTCTGTAAGAGAAACTGGATGCATAATACTTTCCACGCGTGATATAAAACTGAAACGTATAATAGATGTAGGTGTAACACGAAAGAGTTCTTTTTACAAACGAGTCATCCGTACATTGAACTGATGCTCTTCGTGAATACTATGATGACAGATCCTCTTTTTAATAATTTAGAAAAGGAAAATAAATTTATCTTAATTCTAACGAAAATATCTATCTTTAAATGATTATAATTAATGATTAATTTACATTATTCCAAGTAAGTTTAGAGAGTTTGTTTATTAAATTTATAAAATTCTGAAAAATGTGTTTTTTAACATGTGCCTGCGTGTAAAATACCTCAATATTCTTAGATGATGCTCCACGATAACGGCCACTTTTCCTTCGGTTGTATCATTTTCTTTCTTCTTGTCAACAAGTTCATGTAGCCACGTGTACAGCACGTTCAGCTGACCACAAGCATGTATCGCGAAGATAGCGGCTAGACTGCAAGCACCGACGGTAGAGGAATTTATTATGAACGTTGACAGGAATTGCAGAACCAATGCGATTTCATTTACAGGACTATATCTCGTGTCGATGATTTTACTGTAAATCGGACATGTCATCGGATGCGTCGTGAAAGTCTCATTGCCAACAGTGATAGGTACAGTTTTCATCGCCCTTGCTAAGCTGAATAAGAAGGCACCGCCTTGCATGATCAGTCCACAGATCAAGGCGACAGAACGACCGTATTTGGCGTGTTGCAGCATCACTTCGCGATCGTCGATTCTTTGTATGAGACGCCAATCTGTCTCCATGTGTCGTATTAATTTGCGAATATCACCGCTGCGCTTGAGTAGCACCCAGTAATTTACCGATCCCATAATCCTGTGAAGCAGTGGCCCAATGGCGTTCAGTCTTGCCTTGATGTTAACTTTATCAAACAACACATGTAACAAACACGGTACCGTTACGGATGCTACCATACTCGAACAAATAAGAATTTGCAGTAACACAAGGATTTTCCATATTGAGTTCGACGCATTTATTTGTGGCCACGCACCGATTGGCACGAGAAACCACCGACTCAATTGTAAACTGTAATCGTTATATTTCTTTGATATGTCGCTTTCTGGCGCACATTTGGAGTTTGACATGATCACTGCACGAAAGCGCACGGTGCACTGCCATGGATAGGCAATTCATCGTGCTAGAGTTGAATATGAAGAAGCGCCTGCGCCGTCCTTAGGAAGAGTTTGGTGGACGGCCTTAAAATTACTTTGAGAGGGGCGTAATTTCAATCGATATAGTTGTTCGTCGAGAGTCTATTGTCAGATGTCTAAGAGAACATCGCGTGTCATGAGGAGTGTAAGCGTAGATTCGTGGAAGTGATACTAAAAGAGCTTTAATTTAGCAGATTTTCTTTTGTTCGACGACGTATATTAGCTACACCCCTTGTATTGATTAATAAGTCAATTAGTTTTAAGTGGTGATAAAAATTACAACTTCATAAAATATATAGTAGTAGAAGTAGTAAATACATATATGATAAAAATTAGGAATTTATATTGTATAATATAAACTTTTGCGAAAATTATTTAATGACCAACAATGCTGTGTCATTCGAATGTAATAATTAATTTTATTTATTTCGATTTAGAGGACATATTTATCCCCCATTTCTTATTCCGTATAAAATATATTTTACACATTTCTGAACCTGTCATGTTTTACATAGTTAATGTTCGTAAAAGATTTAAATATATCATGGAAGTTCTAATTACCTGAAACAACAAAATGTACGTTTTTATATATTATGCAAATGATTATATATCCTGAGAACGATAAACATATTTCTTGAGATTTTAAATCTCTCTTTTTTCTTTTAGTTAAACAAATGACTTATTGTTTTAAGACAATGGATAACATGAAAATGATTATTCCAATTTTTATAGAATTTTAAAGATTTTTAATTAACAAACTATTATGAAAATATATTGATTATATTTTCTTTTAGCATATCTTTCAGAAACGTTTTTATGAAGACGATATATATTACTTACATCGCCAAAAGTTGCGACAGACAAATGAAATAATTTTCCTGCAGTAATCTTTATCACGTTATTTGATCGTGCAATTATTAAAACAAGACCACGTGCAGTTTTGTGATGTAGATTATACCAATCGGTCATATATGCCATTTCTCCGACATGTTTACACTAGCAAATCGATACAAAATTAAATGTTTCTTATAATTAATTTCATAATTTGCATTTGATAATTAAGTTTGCAAACAAAAATATTAATGGATGCGAAATATATACTCGACAAATGCCGAGTTTTGCTAAAAATTAAACAATTATATTTTAGTATTTTCGTATAATAATATAAAAGGATGTCTTATACAGTTAAGATTCATTGAGTTACGAAACAAGGAATATTATTCTGCTGTCGATATATTACCCGTTCTGTGATAATTTCTCCAATATAACAATATATAAAAATATTGAAAGCCATCGATAAGTATACATTAATATAAGATGTTATTTTCGTTGCATCGAAATCTTCCAAAGCCTAAAAATTTATAACGCTAACCTCTATCTTTATATAATAACATGATTAACTTGCTTTTACTCCATTTTCTTGGTAATATGACATTAAAATATTTATAAATAAAGAAATTGATTGGTCGATACATTTAATAAGATAACAATTTTTAAGGTCTTTATCATACCAAAAGAAAGTAATATCCCATTAAGCACATAATCATTGTACATCCCATCAATTCCACAAGAGAGATCTTATTCATAATACGTTCCACGCGTGCTATAAAACTGAAATGTGTATAATAGTGCTCATAATCATTAGATGTAAAGATCCTTTCCGAGAAACTATATCGATAACGGCACATCTTTTTTAGTAATTAAAACAATTAATATTTGTTCTAACAAAAATGTCAGTATATCTTTGATAATATTGCTTTATATGACATGTACGAGGCCCAAAGTTTATTGTCTATTTACGTATGTATGTACCTCAATACTCTGAGATGATGCTCTACGATAACGGCCATTTTTCTTTCGGTTACATGATTTCCCTTCTGATTTTCTACAAGTTCATGTAACCACGTGTATAGCACGTTCAATTGACCACAGGCGTGCGTTGCGAAGACGGCCGCCAGGCTGCAACCACCGACAATAGATGAATTCACTATAAATGTTGACAGAAACTGCACAATCAATGCGATTTCATTCACAGGGCTAAATCTTGTGTCGATGATCTTGCTATATATCGGACACGTCATCGGATGGATCCTAATGGTCTCGTTGCCGACAGTGATAGGTACAGTTTTCATTACCTTGGCCACGCTGAACAGGAATGCACTGCCATGCATAAACATCCCACAGATCCCGACGACGAAACGACCGAACTTGGCGTATTGTATCATTACTTTGCGATCTTCGACCCTATTTATGATTTCCCAATCTGCTTCCATGTGTTGTATTAATTTACGAATGTCGCCACTGCGTCTCAAAAGCACGTAATAATTTACCCAACCCATAATCCTGTGAAGCAACGGAGCAACGGCGCCTAGCTTCAGTTTGATGTTGGCATCCTCGAATAACATGAATAATGTACATGGTATCATTATACATGCCATCAAGATCACGCAAATAAAAATGTATAACAATACGAGTATCTTGCTCGAACCGTTTATTTGCGACCATATACCAATTACTTTGAGGAACCATCGATTTAGTTGAAGACTATAATCAATGTTAGTTTTAAGACTAGTACTTCTAGACATATGTTTCGACTTCGTCATTGTCACTTCACGAAGGCTCCCGATGTACTGTCGCAGTAGACAGTGCGCTTGCAAGGATTGTGTTTGAGTAGGCGCCTGCGTCAACTTCGAATGAAGTTTGAGAACTTCATATTGACGTTTTTTTTTTCTGAGAGACACGCTTGCACGTTCGATCAATAGCCGTCTATAGCGGATTGTTTATTTTATCAGTTTGACAGGAAACCGTATTCAGAGAGGAAGATGAGAATACATTTGCGAAAGTTTCGTAAAATATAAAACTTTAATTACTTAATTTTAGGCGATTTGTCAAAGGATATTTGATATTACAAAATGTGTGATATTACTATAAAAATTCCTTTAAAAAAAAGCGAAGGAAGAGCTCTAAGTGTCCGCGACCGTCAAAATAGTTAATGTTGTTCTAACTTGTTTTTACTATAAAAGTGGTGATATCAATTATCAAATATTGCGCCAACTGCGCATCAGTTTATATATATACGTATATAAAATATACCTCATTTTATTACCTATTTTTAAAAAAAGTATTTAAAATTGATACTACCTATTGTAGTTTATTGTTGCTTTTCTGCGATGCCAATTGATTCTCTCGCTGCGCTTACTTTATGACCAGCTGTCATCGTATATTTTGACAGTTGTGTGTATCAAAGAGTTAATAGTGCAATATAGTAATAGTATAATGTTAGAGCTAAATAGTGCGCGAAAAGCGCGCATCTGTGATGTCTAGTGTCATAAAAGAGATATTTTGTGATAACTTTTTCATTGTTTTTTTCGCTATATAAATACATAAACGAAACGCATTGCCAACTTGTCTCTTGCGCCAACGAGCCTCGGTCTCCCCTACATTTATACAAAAATAGGTTAAGTAAATCAACATTACTTTGCAAAATATTTTGACGAGCGCGACACTTGGCGTCCTCTTTTCACCTTTTTCTAAGAAGGTAATTTTTATGGTCCTAATAATAAATAATGTATCTATTAAGATATTCTTTATTATTAGGACCAAATTCATTTTAAATGGCAATAAAAATGAGAATTTTGTAAAATATACAAGTTGTATACAGATATGTGATAGAAATGTCAACAAATTAATAAACGGCGATACGAGTCAGGCGCGGTACGTGGTGCGCAAGTAAAGAAATTAATAGTTACAAAAGTAACGAATTACAATGTATATAATTTATACATATACAAATATACATATATTCCAACTTGATAAACTTGATAAACTGCGCGTCCGATTATTTGTCGGACTTGAAACACAGCTATCGTTGGAACATTAATACCTTTCCCTCCCCAGAATTATGTGATAAAATTTAGAAATTTATATTGCATAAACCTTTGAAAATAATTTAATGGCTAACAATTCTGTGTCATTCGAATGTAATAATTAATCTTATTTATCTTGATTTAGAGGACATATTTATCCTCCATTCCTTATTCCGTATAAAATATATTTTACACATTCCTGAACCTGTTATGTTTCACATAGTTAATGTTCGTAAAAGATTTAAATATATCATGGAAGTTCTAATTACCTGAAACAACAAATTGTATGTTTCTATATATTATGCAAAATAATTATATATTTTGAAAACGATAAACATATTTCTTGAGATTTTAAATCTCTCTTTCTTCTTTTAGTTAAACAAATGACTTATTGTTTTAAAACAATGGATAACATTAAAGTGATTATTCCAATTTCTATAGAATTTTAAAGATTTTTAATTAACAAACTATTATGAAAATATATTAATTATTTTTTCTTTAACATATTTTTCAGAAACGTTTTTACGGAGACAATATATATTACTTACATCGCCAAAAGTTGCGACAGATAAATGAAATAATTTTCCTGCAGTGATCTTCATCACGTTATTTGATCGTGCAATTATTAAAATAAGACCACGTGCAGTTTTGTGATGTAGATTATACCAATCGGTCATATATGCCATTTCCCCGACATGTTTACACTAGCAAATCGATACAAAATTAAATGTTTCTTATAATTAATTTCATAATTTGAATTTGATAATTAAGTTTACAAACAAAAATGTTAATGGATGCGAAATATATATGCAAACGCCGAGTTTTGCTAAAAATTAAACATATATATTTTAGTGTTTTTATTGAGTTACGAAACAAGGAATATAATTCTGCTGTCGATATATTACCTGTTCTGTAATAATTTCTCCAATATAGCAATATATAAAAATATTGAACGCCATCGATAAATATACATTAATATAAGATGTTATTTTCGTTGCATCGAAATCTTCCAAAGCCTAAAAAGTTATAAAGCTAATCTCTACCATTATATAATAGCATGATTAACTTGCTTCCACTCCATATTTTTGATAATATAATGACATTAAAATATTTATAAATAAAGAAATTAATTGATTGAAGCATTTAATAAGACGACAATTTTTTAGGTCTTTATCATACCAAAAGAAGGTAATATCCCATTAAGCACATGCATATCGTACATCCCATCAATTCCGCAAGAGAGATCTTATTCATTATACTTTCCACGCGTGCTATAAAACTGAAATATGTATAATAATGCTCATAATCATTAGACGTAAAGATTCTTTCCGAGAAATTTTATCGATAACGGTACATCTTTTTTAGTAATTAAAACAATATTTGTTCTAACAAAAATGTCTGTATATCTTTGATAACATTGCTTTATATGACATGTACGAGGCCCAAGTACTCAAAAGTTTATTGTCTATTTACGTACCTCAATACTCTGAGATGATGCTCCACGATAACGGTCATTTTTCTTTCGGCTACGTGATTTCCCTTCTGATTTTCTACAAGTTTATGTAACAACGTGTATAGCACGTTCAGTTGACCACAGGCATGCATTGCGAAGACGGCAGCCAGGCTGCAACCACCGATCGTAGATGAACTCACTACAAATGTTGACATAAACTGCACAACCAATGCGATTTCATTCGCAGGGCTAAATCTCGTGTCGACGATCTTGCTATAAACCGGACACGTCATCGGGTGCATCCTAAAGGTCTCGTTGCCAATAGTGACAGGTACAGTCTTCATCACCTTGGCTATGCTAAACAGTAATGTACTGCCATACATAATCGCCCCACAGATCCCAGCGACGAAACGACCGAACTTGGCGTATTGCAACATTACTTTGCGATCTTCGATTCTATTTATGATTTCCCAATCTGCTTCCATGTGTTGTATTAATTTACGAATGTCGCCACTGCGTCTCAAAAGCACGTAATAATTTACCGAACCCATAACCCTGTGAATCAACGGAGCAACGGCGCCCAGCTTTAGTTTGATGTTGGCATCCTCGAATAACACAAATAGTGCGCATGGTATCATTATACATGCCACCACGATCACGCAAATAAAAATGTGTAACAATACGAGTATCTTGCTTGAGCCGTTTATTTGTGACCATATACCAATTGGTTTGAGGAACCATCGATTCAGTTGAAGACTATAATCAGTGTTACTTATAAGACTAGTACTTTTAGACATATGTCTCGACTTCGTCATTGTCACTTCACGAAGGCTCCCGATGTACTGCCGCGGTGGACAGTGCGCTTGCAAGGGTTGTTTGAATAAGCGCCTGCGTCAACTTCGAATAAAGTTTGGGAACTTTATATTGACGTTTTTTTTTTCTGAGAGACACGTTTGCACGTTCGATCAATAGCCGTTTATAGCGGATTATTTATCCTATCAGTTTGACAGGAAACCGTATTCAGAGAGGAGGATGAGAATACATTTGCAGAAGTTTTGTAAAATATAAAACTTTAATTACTTAATTTTAGACGAGTCGTCAAAGAATATCTAATATTACAAAATGTGTGATATTACTACACATTTTTTTTTAAGTGAAGGAAGAGCTTTATGTGTCCGCGACTGTCAAAGTAGTTAATGTTAATTTTTTTAATCTGTTTTTGCTATAAAAAAGTGATACCAATTATCAAATATTGCGCCAACTGTGTACGAGTTTATACATATAAAATGTCATTTTTTCATTATCCACTTTTAAAAAAGGTATTTTAAATTGATACTAAAATCTATCGAAGTTTATATTTGTCGCTTTTCCGCGATGCCGATTGGTTTTCTCGCTGTGCTTACGTGAGCGTCTGTTATCGTATATTTTGATAGTTATGTGTATGAAAGAGTTAATAGTGTAATAAGGACAGTTTAATATTAATTGTATGCATTTAAATATTTAAATGTTTAATCATTTAACTATTTTAGCATTTTCTTCTACGTCAACAAAGACTTCTCTTTTCTTTATCGATGTATTCAAGATTGTTTCAGATTTAAGTTTTGCAGAACATTTTTGTTTTAAATATAGAGCTAAATAGCGTGCGCGTAGCGCCTGTCTGTGATATCTAGTACTTGTAAAACTGACGTACTTTGCGCTCTCGGATCTTATGGCAACCAAGTAGAGGAAGTGCGGATATTGCGGGATCTAAGCCTTTTTTAAGATAACTTTAAAACTATTAAAGATTACTGAACTCAGTTTTCACCAAGTTGTAATGCCGAATGTTTTGTTATAACGTATTTCTAACAAATTTCATTTATTTATAGTAAGTTCAATTTTATATCAATTTTTTAAGGTAAATTTTGGAAGTGTAATGTGAAACAGTCGAGTAATGCAGAACATTTTATTAATCTTGCAAAAAAAATAATTTTTTTTGTATTTTGATGCATGTTAATGATTAAATAGTCTATAACAATTATTATTCTATTATAATATTATATATTTAGTACATTACAATTACCTACAAACTCTAATTTTTGTATTTTATGTAACAATGTCATATAAACGTATGAAACATGTTTAAAACTTTTACTCATAATATATACCTATTAATAATATATACTCATTATAATAATAGTGCTCTTGAAAGAAAGAAACAATAAAAATACTTATAAAAAGTGGTGGGTTATGCAAACTATTCCATTATTTATCTGACATCGCTATTCTTACCTTTTTATCGTACACAGTAGAAATGTATGACATTTACTAAATAGACTACACTAAAGTTCTATCATAGTTTTACATGCAACAAAAGACGACTAAGAATCTGCGAAGTAGATTGACTGCAAAATAAAAGTTTATAAAATAATCTTATGCAGTAAGCGATATACACCAAATCTTTAATTTGACGTATTAACTCTGTGACACCGTGTATTACGCTGCCGTATTATACGTTAAATTAGCGGTCCAGAAGTTAGTAATTCCACGGCTGTCTACTAAGTTGTAACACTTAATAGACTATACTATAACAGATATCGTGATAGTTCATTACTCTACTATCTCACAGTACTCGCACTTCCTCACGTCTTATAAGTTAGCGGAACAAAGTGAGCAGAATCAATTCTAAATAATATTTTTATTTGGTGCTTATTTGTTGCTAAAACTTTGCCAAAGAAAGAAATTCGTTGCTCTGTAAGTTTTCTTAAAAAATGTTGTTCCGCTAAAAGAAGATTAAATTAGCGTGACAATATACATATAACAACGAAATTGCATAAAAATAACATAAGAATTTTTTGCTAATTTGTTGCTCACAAAATATGCTAGTCCCGATTTTGTTGCTCGCAAAATAAGTGTAAATATAACAGCGGAAAACCTCAGCGTGCGGATAGTTACACGAGTAAAGTGGCAGAAAAAAGTTTGTTGCTTGTTTAAATTTGGTACTGGCGTATTATCTGAATTTGTTACTTTCAAAATATCCAAGTTTTAAATGTGTTGCTTGCAAAATAAGTATAAACAAAGGCGGAAAACTTCAGCGTGCAGACAGTTACAAGAGTAAAGTACCAGAAAAAAAGTTGTCCGCTTAAATTTGGTAGAGGCGTATTGTCTGAATTTGTTGCTCTCGAAATATCCAAGTTTTGAATTTGTTGCTTGTGAAATAAGTATAAACAATAGCGGAAAACCTCAGCGTGCAGGCAGTTACAAAAGTAAAGCAAGCAACAAATTTTTTTCTGGTACTTAATTCTTGTAACTGTCTGCATGCTGAGGTTTTCCGCTGTTATTTACACTTATTTTGCGAGAAACAAAATCTGGACTAGCATATTTTGTGAGCAACAAATTAGCAAAAAATTCTTACGTTATTGTTATGTGCAATTTTGTTGTTATATGTGTATTGTTACGCTAACATAATTTTCTTTTAGCGGAACATCATTTTTTAAGAAAACTTACAGAGCAACAAATTTTTTTTTTTTGCAACTTTCTAGCAATAAATGAGCAAACAATAATATTATTTAGAATTGATTCTGCTTATTTTGTTTCGCTAAATTATAAGACGTCACTTCCTCTAATACAGTATATGAGTCATGTGCGCCAAGTTTGTCAGTTTTATATAAGTATGTATCATAAAGAATTAAATTTTATAATTTGTACAAGTATTCTTTCATACTCTATTGGCGTAATATCTGATGTTACTACATTTATACAAAAATAGGTTAAATCAACATTGTTTCGCACAATATTTTGACGGGCGCGATACTTGGCGTTCTCTTTTCACCTATTTATAAGAAGGTAATTTTTGCAGTTCTAATAATAAAGGATATATCTATTAATTAAGATATTTTTTATTATTAAGACAAAATTAATTTTAAATGCCAATAAAATAAAAACATTGTAAAATATAGAAGTTATATACGGATATGTGATAAAATTTAGAAATTTATATTGCATAAATCTTAGAAAATAATTTAGTGGCCAAAAATTCTGTATCATACGAATATAATAATAATTAATCGCATTTATCTTGATTTAGAGGACATTTATTTTACATCTTATTCTAACAAAATATATTTGTCACATTTCTAAACATGTTATGTTTTACACAGTTAATGTTCGTAAAAGATTTAAATATACCATGGAAGATTTAATTACCTGAAACAAGAATATGTTTGTTTCTACATGGTATACAA